ACCATTGTTACTCTCCTAAAATCTTGTTTTGAAATTTCGTACCACTGTTTTTATTTTTTTTTCTTTCTTTAAAAATAACTGATGTCATAAAAAAAAAGAAAGTAAACTGTAGATCAGCATTAAAAAAAATAAAAATAAAAATAAATAAAAGACAGATTGGATAACAGGCAACAGGGAGACAGCCCTGTTGTAATTGGAAAAGGGACCTAGAGAGGACAGGAAGGGGGCAGGAAGACAGGGAAGAGGAAGCAGAAAGAATGAAGGTGCGTTATGCGCATGTACTAAGCCATTGCAACGAATATAATCATTTTGTACTACCAACATGTACTAAGAAAAAAAGTGTCACTGAAACAAATTAAAAACCTGAGCAAATAAATAGACAGCAGGTGCTCACGGATTAGAGGATTAGAGGATTAGAGGATTAGCATGTTAAGACAGCAATACTCTCCCAAACTTACCTGCCTATCAGTCTCCATCAACACGTAAGGTGCGTCTCTGGTGCCCTGCTTCCCACACTTGCCTAAGCAGGCCTTAGCTGCTTAGTCCACTGAGCTATCTCATAGGCCCGCTTTTTTTTTTAGAACCTGACAGCTAGTTTTATGTAGAAATATAAAGGACTCAGAAAAGCTCATCAATTTTGAAAAATTCTGAAAAACAATATACAGAACCCACAGTTCTTAACTTCAAAACTTAATACTAAAGGAAAACAGAATCATTTTGGTTACTTTTCTCTCCTTGCTGGGACAAAATATCCAACATCCAAAATGAAGGAAGGAAAGGTTTATCTAGCTTCCAGGTAGTGGAGGCTCCGGTCCAGACTCCGCTGGCTCCAGGGCTGGCAGAGGGCAGAGGGCGGCCTGTCGTGGCGAGGCAAAGCCCAAGAGCCGCGGCAGCGGGCAGCCGCCAGCCCTCGCGCCTTAGCTCTCAGGCGGATTCCCACGCGGCTGCAAGGCCCGCAGCACGCCTGCGATCTCAGCCCTGGATCAAGGGTCACTCGCAGACTCCAAACGCCGCCCCAAGGCTGCAGGCGGCTTTGCGGGGACAAGTGCACACCATCCATCACAAGAATGGTACTTCAAAAGACGCCTCTTTCCAAGGAAATCATTTGTTTGGGCTGACGGCAATTAAGTAGTCCTAACTGAGGACACTCTCCAACCGCAAGTTTTTCTGGTCCACGGCAGGAAATACCTTTGCTCTCTCAGAGACCGCACTGGAACCTTACTGGCCCGGGAAGCCCGGGAGGAATCTGCAAACCAGCCTTCCTCCAGCCGCTTCGCTTCCTTCCACACGTTTACACTCCAGTTCCTGCCCTTGAAAGCCTAAAACGCTCTCTCCCCCAAACCAACCTCTTCCAGTCGTGCTTTGTATAATTTAACTCTTCTTTGTTACAGACGCTAGAGAAGTGTGGTTTAAGCCACGGCCTTGAGTTACTTTGCGTTCAGGCGTCTCTCGTGATACGCACTGCATGTAGTAACAGCTCTCTTTTCCTGTTAATCTGTGTGTGTTTTCTTTAAACAGGAACTCATTCCAGCTAAAAAAGAACTTACATGAGGATTGAGGAAAAACTTAGCGTTTTTCTATTACAACATTAGTCAACATCGTGTGGTATTATTAGGACGTAAACAAGACACTAGCTCAATGGAATAAAATTCAGCGTACACAGATAAACCTCCGATTTTTGACGACACTACTAGGAGAAACACATTAAAAAAGAAATCAGTTAAGGTTGAATTTTTTTGTATGTTTGTTTTCTTTTGAGACAAAGTCTTGTTTTAGAGTTCAGACTGGCCTTGAACTCAAGATACAGCTTAGTCTAGTCAGGAACTCAGAGAAACCTTCCTACTCAGTGTCTTGTGTACTGAGATTACAGTAGGCATCACCATACCCACCAAGGGGGTGAATTTGTTAGAAAGTAAAGTCCAAAGTTTTTAGACTATTTGCAGTCTCTGAAACCCGACGGCATTACTCATCGGAAGGTGATGCAGGGGGACGTACCTCTAGACCCAACCATGGGACCGCAGCTGTCTCTATTACTCTCCTTTGCTGGTTCACAAGGGTTGACTGTTTGCTTCTGACAGGAAAATGCTGAAAAGAAGGTAAAAACCTGTTATGCTTTTAATAGTACATGTACGTACAGCACATTATCAAGTTACTATATTATTGAGATGAATTTCTACTTGTTCATAAAGAGGGACATTAACATATGTAAATGAGCAGAGAGAAAAATATTTCAAACATCTAACAAGTCTTTCAAGGACAATTATGTAATATTTGAAAAAATCCTCATCTGTTACCTGATGACATTCTTGATAAAGTACCAGGATGAATTCCTGTTTCTGAAACTGTAGGATCTGCAAATAAGCAAAAAGACAGGTGGGAACAAGAACCATAAACAGTGAGTAACTATCCCCAGAAGCATTTAAATCAATATAGTCAGGTCTAATGACAAAGCAGGCTCCAAGCTACAACAACAGATGGTGCAGTCCTTGACACACGCTCAGGGGGACGTCAGGCTTGATGTAGCCAACGCCCATGGTGCGAAGCAGCTACAGAGGCAGACAACATCCCCTCCGATGCCGCAACGCTCCTGAAATGTATCAGGTGACCTTATTTAAAAAGGCTGAGCTAGAAGAATTATGAGTTGGAGGCCAGCCCAGCCTACAGAGGAAAACTTTCCTAAACAACAAAAATTTAGAGGTACAGCTCAGTGTCTGAGCACATGCTTGGTAGAACAAGGGCCTGGATTTGATCCTTGTTATCAAAATAAGAAAAAGAGAAAAAAGAAAAGAAAAGGAAAAAAAGTCATTAGCCTCTAAAAGATACTGAAAATGATTTATAAATAGAAAAGCTCATCACATCAAAAGATGGCTGTGGTAGAAGCCCATAACCCCAATCACAAATCTGAGCCCTGTTATGGCAAATGTGGCTCGAGTTCAGGGCTCAACGTGACTAACAAGGGTAGGGATGCAGCTCAGAGCAAAGGCCACCAAAGCGACACGCTCATCGTCATGACCACTGTGCCACACCCGTTATTTCTGCCATGGCAAAGCAGAGAGGATAATCTCTGCTGTCTGCGTCTCGGTTCCGGCACGCTGGGGACCAAAGCTGGGGCCTGCACGTGCCGGGCACCTACTGCACTGTCTTCTACTACTTACTGCTCACGAGCAGCTCCAGGATGCTCTCTGACGTGCTGTGAACAGACAGCTCCAGACAGCGGGCAAAGCTGGACAGTGCCTTGCTGCGCACAGTAGGTGCCTTGTCCAAACAACGGTCAAACATAATCTCCTGCACCAAGAATTTGTGTCTTAGGAACTTCTGGTGCTCCAAGGGGAGAGTGCCATCCACCTCTCTTTCAGGCAGCTCTAAGAGAGCTAAGACAACATCGAGAGTAAAAACCCGGTGGGCAATCTGGCAAAGCAAATCATAAGAATCATCATAAGATAGGAACGGGAACCAAAGAAACTCTTCTGCTTCCCATCTGCCTGTCCTCCAACAGAGCCAGGACGAAGGATTTCATGCAGATCAACGCCTACCTTGGAACTTCGGGAGTATTTGTAAAGCCACGAGATGAATGTAGCATACTCCCCACAAGGGAGCTTACTGAGCAGGTAGACAAGAGACTGGGCGGCAGAGGTCCGATACTCTGCTCGATCTGTCACCTGCAACGCAAAATACAGAAGTTGTCTGGCCTGTGACTACATACAGGACAACTGTCATATAAGTTGGAAACTAGTGAGTATAAGCAGCTTCATCTTTTTTTTTTTTTTTTTTTGCGGTACCAGGGATTGAACTCAGGACCTTGCGCTTGCCAGGCATGCACATATTCCACTGAGCTATCTCCTTGGCCCTAACCAGTTTTAACATTTGAACATCACAGTGACCAAGACATTTTAGGCTTCAGAGCTGAACTATAAACCCCGCTACAGAAAAGCACACATACAAATTTAACATACAACTTCATGCTTTCTAGGCTCTGCAGGGTTCAAACAAAGAATCACGAAACAGTCATGTAAATTTAGAAGATACTCATAAAAATCCAGACATTAACTGAATTATATCTCATTTAGCAGTATTAATACTTTCTGGTTAGTTTTATTATTCTTTTGAGATACAGACTAAACTATTATGAGTGAAAGGATATAACAGAATCTACTTAAAGACAGCCCACACGGGTGAGGAAGGCATGGCAGAACTGACCAAGAGGAAGATGAGTGGGGGCGACTCAGCATACGATTCTCCTTCTTTTTGATATTTTCCAAGTAAAGTTTGTTTTAAAAGAATATTTCATTTAGAAGGACATTCAGTATTAAATCACGCTTTTCAGTGATCACAGACATGCTGCCGACAGCAAGCCCACTCTTCTCTATCTGCTACGCACTAGCACACTGTCGCTCTCGCGACTACGGCGAGGGGTACCTTGGCGCAGATGTGCTGCAGCAGAATACGAAGAACTGGAAAAACGCGCTCTTTCAGTTCATCCACAAGGGAGCTGTTTAAAAGAAGAACATGTGGCTAGAGTTAACAGTCTACCTATTATCACAATAAAATAGTAACCTCTCTTGACTCTTCCTCAAAAACCACTACTCCTGTGTTTTAAAAATTCCAGGATTAAAACAAATCTACCCATACAGATTAAGAGTTGTTATAGCGAAATAAACATGAGGTATTAGAGGAGAGCACAGGGACCGGGGACTCGGTGGCACAGCACTGGCAAGTGCAAAGCTGTAGCTGATTCACAATAATGAGAAAAAAAGTAGCGCAGAGGCGCAGGCACGCGATATCAGTGTAGAAAGCCCGCCAAGCACTTCCTGTGTATTTGAGAGAGCTGTTGTTGAGAAGCCAAGTCAGGGAGGAACAAAAACGCAATTTCATGCAGCTATTTTGACTAGTTATTAAATTTCATATTAAGACATAAATCACAGCTGGGCATAGTGGCCAGGGCTATAATCCCAGCACTTCAGAAAGGCTGAGGCAAGAGGATTCCAAGTCTGAGCCCAGCATAGACAACCTAGTAAGACCATCTTTCATAATGAAAAAAGTGCTGGCAGGGCCTGAGAAATAGCTCGGGGCCCTGCCCCTTAGCTCAGTTCTTTAAGTAGCTGCTTCAACAAAGCAGTCAGGCTCAGGTTGCTGTGCTTTGATCCCCACAACTCCAGCCAGCCAAACCTGCCCTGAAGGCATTCGGAGAAAAAAAAAAAAGAAATAGCTCAGTAGTCTGGGTACCTGCTTGGCAAGAGCAAGGACCTGGGTTTGATCCCCTGTACCATATGCCACGCTGGCCCCGGAACCCCACGGCCAGGCACCAAAACTGGGCATGGTGGCACACTGGGGAGGCTGAGACAGGAAGATCACTACAAGTCCAAGCTGTGTATCGAGATCCTCTACCAAATAAACAAATTAATTAATTAAAATATTTGTTTAAAAATGGAAGTGCTGGAGATATAGTTCACTGGGAAGGAGTACCTCCCCAAACCAAACCACCTCAAAGTAGACAAACCAACTAAACACCTCCAAGTAAAATACAGTTTTAGGATAAATGTAACAACACACTAAGACACACCTCATGGCAGCCTAGAGAAATGCTGCTACCTCAGTGCATTTGCAACATGACTTCTCCAAGCTCTAAGAGCTTCCTAAACTGAATATGATCCATTTTTACCATTAAATTCATCTGTATAATTGCATGAATGTCACTGCAAGGGGCAACATGATGAACCCTCAGGGAAAAACCAAAGTGACCATGTTTCCACCTCAAGTACTTACTTGTCCAATGTTTAAAAGAACCTTAGTAAGACGTGACGTGCTCCGTGACAGGACGACACCACCGCCCACGTCCAGCTCCACAACGCACAGCGGCGGGCAGGTCCACCTGCCCGGTCAATACTCACTGCGCTTCTCGGCCCTCCGCACTGGACGCCCGAGACTCAGGGAGGGAGGCAAAGGACAGCTGAGGACACAGCAAGCACCCTTCCCAGTGGAGCGGGGACAGGACTTTCTAAGTGGAGCTGAGTGATTCATGGGGGGAACAGCAGTGGCATCATTTACTGCTGAGGGAGGGAAAGCAATTTACTTCTTTCCTCCAGGAAATTCTTGCTATAGGAGGAGGGGATTAGAAAAATGAGAAGAAGGAACAAAGGCAAAGAGACAGGTGTAAAGAAAACTAGAGGAGGAGAGAAAGGGTTAGGGCTCAGATTTCTCTCTATGCTGGAGAGGCAAATGCCTAAGCTAGTGGTGGTGAGTGGACAGCACGTGTGTCACTGTGATTTTAGGACAAAAGACACTAATGTGGAAACTTGTCTCTAGACTAAAACTCCACTATTCAGGTTTTCCTGCAGAGCTGGCACCCTGTGACAAGCGAGTGAGGTGTGGGTTGCACTGGGCACTAGCTCTCTACGGGTTCGCTATCACTAACTTACGGCAACTGTCTCCTGCACAGGCTGCATGGGCTCGACTCAGAGGCCGGCTCTGGCCTGAGAACTGCACTCTCTATCCTTTTACAATGCCCTGACAGAGGCTCTACCAGCAATGGCCTAGGCCACAGGAACTACATCACTGTGACATGCCGAACCGCATCCCGCCAGGCATTTCAACTCCACAGGTATCTGAGATCCTTGCCGGTGAGGGCCCAGGAGACTGAGGCAATGTGGCAGACAGTGAACATTCAAGAGCTGTGTGCTTCACCTGATGAACTGGACCGCCTGGTTTTTATGACTGATGACTTGGGAAGTGATCGCAAGAGGGGCATGATGGGATCCTTCGCCTACTTCTAACATCAATAATACATTTAAGATTTGATGGAAAATACAGCCAATAACCTAGAAGGGAAAAGAAAAATCAATTTATGTATATAAAAAATCCAAAGACCTCAAAGATAAGTGACACAGAGTAGAGTAAGTCACTTTCAGCCACTTGAGGACAGGGGAAGCTGACAGAATTTCTGGCTGAAAACCAGGGGAGGAAATTCTTCTGATTCTGTCTTGTCAAATGTTAAAAAGGACATGAAAATAAAACTATTTCTGTGGATTACATCTCCATATCTTAAGCACTCAGAAATTATATGTAGTAAATTATGAAATAGTGAACATTTCCTAAGCAAGACTTCACTCAGCATTTGGCGTATTTAACTTCATTTAACCACTTACCAGTCCAATTATTTAAATACAAGATGACCAAAAGTGAACGTGTTTTGGTTAATCTTTATACAACACGAAGTATTATGACGATGACAATCTCATCAAATTTTTTCAATAATTTTTCTCTGTGTGGTATATCATAAAACATTCAATATGCAAAGCAATAAAGCAATGCCCCAACCCAGATAGCAGTATCTTGTGTCTTTTGGAGTTCTTTTGGCATCATTGGCTTTCTCTGAACAACACTTTACGCTGTGGGCTTGGCCTTCCCTGTTCTCCTGTGGGTGGAACAATTTCTATGCGATGCCTGCCCCCTAAGCATAAGGGGTTCAGACACCAGTGTTGGGCGTCTTGGTCAGTGTTTCATGTCCTGCACCTTTCAATTATTTGGTCTTTTACAGCTAATCTAAATTGTAGTGGCTTTTTTTACCTCCCTTGGTTTGAATAACAAATGAGTTTCATAATGCTTAGTCCCAACAGTGCATAAATATGATAATTTTTTCCTCACCTCTGATTATAGGACAGCTTGTTAGATGCTGGTGTCAACTCTGTCAATATCACCTACAGAATTATTATAATCTGGACCACTACTGGAATTTCTTAAGTTTTGGTTCTTCAACTTCTACCATTTCTGTACTATGAATACCTTCTAATAAGGAGATCTCTCTTCTGTCGTTCCTTTTCCTAACACAGGCTTTTCCTCTCCAACCTGCTAACATTTCTCTCTTCCTCAATTTTTTCTTCTGCCGATCTTTTGGCACTTCCTTCCTCTCAGTCTCAATGTCCCACATGTGTGTTTTATAGTGTAAAAGAGCAACACCGAGTTATGGAGAAACAGAAAAATTGTGTCTCCTGTACTTATGGTAAGAGCTTTTAGATTGCAGCACAAAACCAGAGGTTATTTTTCACAAGCAAAAAAAGCACACACCAAAAAATCAAAACTTACTAGATTTCACTAGAAGCAAGTATCACAGGCTAGTATCCTGTTCTAAATTTTAAAAGTATGCAAAAAGAGTCAATATCAAACAAGCACATGCACAAGTGTACAAGTGTTCTTGTAAACGAGAACTGACTGGCTGGAAGGATGACACCTGTGAGGCTGACAGTGGAGAGTGGGCCACAAACAAACGCACCACACAGGGCTTGGGGAGATTGCTGAGTGGGTAGGTGCCAAACAGGCTCGCGCATGGCTGAGTAGCCACGAAGAAATGGGAAACAGCGGAGGTGCAGCCGAGATACAGGTGTGCAGAGCCTTGAGCACACCAAACCTTCCTCTTGACTGCCACGTTCTCCCGCGGTAGCCACCCACAGCCAGAGGACCTCAGCCCACCGTCTCCTCCAAAGTTTTGTTATTCATTTAAGCATATCCAAGTTGAGAAATACCATCATGCGTGAATCCCCTAAGCTCCACTGTTTATTGTAGTCATAATAATAAGGTAATTTAGGGGGCAATATCTAGATATCAATACTAAGAATAATAATCCATGAAAATTCTGTACAGTATCAGCTAAGCTAATACAAATACCCTGAAGCACTCATGAATTGCCAAGGGATGCCTGAAAATTTTGTGACCTTGTAGTCTTCCTTCTTAGAACAGGTGGATGACTTTCTATAACTGTAACTTCAGCAGCTTCTCTGCTCTTTCTACCTAATTCACACAGAACTACTGGGGTCTGAATTCTAAATATTTGCTGCAGTCCCCAAGTATACTGGACATGAACCTGGTAACAAAGACTGGACAGCAAATAGAAATAGTGACACTAACTTCTATTATACAAATCACAGAAGGTGTTAAAAATGACAGTAAAATAAAATGACATTCCAGGAGTTGCTACTTATCCACAGGATACACACTAAAATTCCACAGACAAGAGCAGGCCTGATAGCTCAGGGGACTAAAGTGCCTGCTTAGTGCAGACCCCACCCCTGGGGCACTGAGATGCAAATGAGACTGGGCGTGGTGGCGCATGCACGCCTGTAATCCCAGCACTTGGGAGGCTAAAAAGAGGAGGATCACTATGAGTCCCATTTATGTAGTGAGACCCTGCAGACCCTGTACTAAATATATATAAAAAAAAAAAAAAAAATCCATAGACAGTACCAAAACCCATAGTATATGCTGTGTTCTTCCCTGCGATAGAATTTCAGTAGCACAATGAGACTAACTAAAATGACTAATAAAAGAACAACTATACTGTAACAAGAATTCTGTGAATTCAGTCTCTTAAAATACCTTACGCACCATACTACACCTCTCATCTGTGGCTCACTGCAGGGAACCAAAATGTTGCAAAGTGACACTGCTGACACCCAGGGATTCCACACGCTCTAGATTGCCACATCTTTCTGCAGTGTGGTCTGCCTGATTCAACTACAACAAAATCGGACCCTGCTCTCTTTTACCTTATCTCCTTCTTCATGAATTGTGGAGCACAGCAAATACAATCCGTAGTAGGCCAGTTCTGGTATGTATTTTGCTTGGCTAAGGTTTCTAAAGAAAAAAAGCAAGACACTTGTTACTAGGTATGATTTTATTAGGAGTACTTCTTACATATGCAAGCTTTATTTATTATTATTGTTACTACTTTTCAGATGCAGCCTCACTGGTGCCTATCCTGGCTCTAAATTTCTGGAGTTGGGCCAGCAGAGAGCTCAGCGGACTAAATGCTGCTTAGGCAAGGGCAGGGACCAGGGTTCGATCTCCAGCACCACATGCCGGGCTGGCCCCACCCCTGGGCATGCTGAGCTGGCCACAGAGACCAGGTGTTGTGGTCCACACCTGTAATCCCAGCACTGGGAAGACTGAAAACAGGAGGGTCACTACGGGTCCAAGCCTTGTAGTGAGACCCTATACCAAATACAGAAAAAAAAAAAAATATTTTACTTTCTGGATCCAAGTGATCCTCCTGCCTTAGCCTTCCAAGTAGCTGGGATTCTAGCCAGTCTCTGGGCATCCAGGTCAAGCCCAATTAGAGCGAGTAAATTTTGCCTTTATACCAATTAGAATAAAATGACACATTTCTATTGAAGCATAAACTACTCTATTATATTTAAATGGAAACCTTGTACTATTTAATGGCTTACCTGGCTTGTGTAACATGAAATTCATGAAGAACTGGCTCGAAATTAGTTAATGCAACAAAGACCTAGAAAACAGACATCAAAGAAAGGCCTGATTTTTCCTATTTGGTAAGAATTAGCAAGGCCCTCTGGGGTTGGCCCACGTTCACTCACCTGGATACAAGTCTGAACACAGTGTGGCTTTTCTTTGAGGGAAAATTTGGGCAGAAGCCTTAAAAAATTCTTTAAAAGGTCAAAGATAGCATTTCGAATTCGACAAAGGTCCCGAGGAGAAAAATAAATATTTTCTTCATCACCTTCTTCTTCTATAATTTCGTCCATCTGTATGAAAAATCTAGGTTATACAGGTGACCATGCAGTAATGTCAAGGTTTACTTGATTCACGTTATACCCAGTTAAACTCCAGGCAGCAGCTCCATCGCTGAGGTGACATGACCGTGACCTCTCACCGCTCTACGCCTGGGGCCACAGTGGTACACTACCAGACTAGAGGATTACTACTGTAAAACCTATCTTGGTATTCTTTTTGTTAATGAGAATCCTGTTTTTCTCACAACTTATAGTCAGTAACTGTCTGCTCTGTACCTTGTTGCACAAGAACGTGGGACTCATGGTATTCTATTACGTCCCTAGAGACACAACCTTCAGGACACTTCAGCTGCCCTAACACCAGTACTGTGGCACACGCTCCAGTTAGTACTGTGTCACGCACAGCTGTGACCAAGTCTAGCAAGGCGGCTGGAAAGCCTGCAGGCCCCGACGGATAGCTATGAGAGCAGTTAGGGATAATCACAGCGCTCAAAACCATATCCTTTTTTTTTTTTTTTTTCAGAGCTGGGGATTAAACTCAGAACTCAGGCCCTCGTGCCTGCCAGGCAAGTGCTTATTCTACTGAGCTATCTCCCTGGCCCTCAAAACAATAACCTTGAAATAAATTAAAATTCCATATTGGTGTACACGCTTCATTATTCCCCTTACTTCTCACCTCAGAATCATCTTTCCTGCGCGGCCTTCCTCTCTTTCTGGCCCCCCTTGAATTAACCTCAGTGTTCCGTGGCTGTTCTTTCTTTCTTTTTCGATTCAAGTTAGATTCCTGGGGCCAGCTCTTCTTTAGAATCTGAATGCACTTGTCAAACATGACTGGGTGGAACACCTGATTGGCTACACTGCCTAGTCAGAAAGAACAAAGAACAAGCAGTGTAAACTGCCTTGAAATATACAGATTAACAACAGATGGACTTGGAAATAAAAAGCAAAAACAGGATTTTCTTAATAAAAACATCCTTTTTCAACATCTGCCTTAAGTGTGAGCAATAGTGTTAAATTAAATGTAAGTAAGAAATGAACGTGGTGATACACGTCCCTAATCCCAGCATTCGGGGAGGCTGAGGCAGAAGCACTGCAACTCCTAGCTCAGACGGGCTGCGGACGCATCTCAGAGCGCAGGCCTGCATAAACTACACAAATGAAAGTCCGATTTCTGCGTGTGGCCACAGCAGAGCAATTGGCTTTATCCTTGTCCTCCCATTGATAAGCAACTAGAAAACTGGACAAAAATCTTAAGACACCACATGACAGGCAGTATAAGAAAATCCCTAAAAAAGGGAATCAAAGAATAAAGCTAAAACTGTCCCAGTTTATATGTATCTAGAGGCAATTTCTAGACTATAATAATAATAATAATAATAATAATAATAATAATCGAAGCCAATTATGAAGGTCTTGCTCAACTGAGAAATCTGAGTCAGGAGGTCAGGGGTAGTTGGAACACATAAGGTACTAAGGGAAGAACAGCACAAAAGAGAGGCCAGAAATTTGGGTCAAAGCAAATAGCAGCTAGGGATGCACGGAGTAAAACCGCATCATGGGAGGAAAAGCACCATTTCCAAGAAACCAGAAGAGAATTGTTTTCACAGTTCACACAGAGATACATTCAAGTGAAAAGATTTAAAAATCCAAATCTTTCAGTAGAGACCTTACAGGGAAAACACCTTAGTAATAAGGCTAAACAAAATACGGAGTAAAAGCTACCTTATAACTCCTGAAGGTTCTTAAAATAGTCTCAAAAGGATCAAGTTCATCCACCAGCAGCTGTGAAGTATCAGCACATACTTCACCACTATGTTGGGGACAGCCGCAAACATCCAGATACTCAACAACTTAGCCTAAACTGATCCAGATTCAGTGCCCTCCCTGTCAGAATCCTGGCTGGCGGGCTGGCTGGCACTCTCGCTCGCCCTCTTTCCCTCTCCCTCCCTCCATCTGTCTGTCTGTCTCTGCAGAAGCTCACATGCAGAACTGAAATTCATACGGACATACAAGGCACTCAATATAGCCAAAATGATCTTATAAACTCCAAGTACTGAGAGTTAAGAGCACCTAAATCATAATACAGAAACAGAAGGTAACTGGCCAGAAGACAGCTTGCTGCAAGTGGTCTACACATTTTGTAATAGCCACCTTTTGCTCTGGCCTGAGTGTCAACCTTCATCAGAAGTACACCAGGCCAGGGAGGAGGAGTGAAAATTTAATTTCTTTTTCTTTCCCCCTGTATTTAGGACAGGGTCTACAGGGTCTCACTACGTAGATCAGACTTGTAGTGAGTCTCCTGTTTTCAGCCCCCCAAATGGTCTCAGCGTGCCCCAGGGGCAGGGCCAGCATGGCATGACAGGGATTGAACCCTGGCCACTATACTCTGCCTAAACAGGCGCTTTAGAACGCTGAGCTATCAAGCTGGCCCTCGAAAATTTAACTTCTAAAACTACTATTATTCTGAGCGAGAGCCTAGCTATAACTGCAATACTAGCAACTATGTTCTTAGAAACTTATTGCAAAACTCATTATGGGAGCATTAACAGTAACTTCCAAGACTCTGAACATCTTTTTACATGGTCCTAAATTGTACAGAATAAGTTGCTAACATTTATTACAAATGTGTTCATATGAACAGCACCAAGCTGACTAGCCCTGTGACTTTCTTGACTCTAAGAACTCATGGTTTTCCAGTTCCATTTCTATGTTCTGTACTTTCTTACTCAGATTTAGGACAGAGAGATAGATAAGGGACTTTTTCACTGCCCGGCCATGTAAATGCTAACCCGCGTGACAACGAGGAAGAACAACAGCGGGCTCAAGTAGATCCCATTCCAGTGTCTTCTTCCCAGTGTTTGTAAATCACCTACACACATCCTCCAAGGCAGCTCCAGAGTGCTTACAATACCTAATACTATGTAAGAAGCTGTTTATTCTGTTACTTAGGGGGATAATGAAAAATAAGTCTGGGCACGTTCAGTACAGCAGCAGTCCTCCTATGCCTGAACTCACGGTACACAGCAGTACCGCGTACAACTTTGCAAGTATTTTCTGCCTACAGTTGGCTGAACAGGCGGATGCGGAACCCACTGCTACCGAGGACCAAATGTATACATACCTGGTATTTCTAGAAGCAAAAAATAAAGTCCAGCAGCATGAAGGCCATACTCTCGATACTGCACGCTGGCGTCTTTCTTATGCACTATTTGCACAAAGTGATACAATAAGGCCACCAGTGTACTATGAGAAACACTATTCTCAGTGAAGAAAGTCCAAACACTCTGGAGGGAGAGAGTAAATCATGAAACCCAGCAACTGAGAGATGCAAAAACCTTTTGTCTGATTTCTGCTAGTATTTACTTAGTGCCTCACAAAACGGGTAACAAGACCGGGCGACAGAACTCAGCGGTAGTGCACACACTTAGCGCGTGCAAAGCCTGGCATTTGATCCCTAGCGCCAGAAAAAGAGTAACAGACCAGTCTGCTAGTCTGGCTCCCAATGATAAATTCATGTTAAATGATTACAATCTTCAAAAGACTAAAACAAAATAAAAAGACTAAAAGAAACAATCAAAACTTAAAAAGTTATTCAGAATTACAAAGAAGAACAAAAAATGTATTGAATATTTCAAAGGTATTAACAGCTAACATCATGTTAAAAATATCAGACCTTGAAATTTTGGGGAAAAGCTAAGACAGTCCAACAAACCACATTCTTTGTTTCTTTTTTCTTGGTCTCTTTTGAAGTACATGCTAAAAGCAGCTAAAATTTGATCATAATAATGACTTTCACCATCTACTTAACACTAATCATGGCTGGCCCGATTGCTTTTCTTTACCTCTGAGCATCCGTGTTCTTCAGTGGCAAAGGGGAGAAGACTTTCATAGAGTTTTGTGAAGGCACTCAATCCCGTGTCTATGATCTGGGCTTCTGCATTGGGATCCAAAGGCTCAGTCTCCGTGAAGTCCAGTTCCCACACTGTGTCCACCCATTCTGAGGAAAATGCAACGCAATTGATGAGTGCTGAAAATCCCTTAAAAACCCATCACCTTTCAGCAGGGTGTGGAAGTGCACGCCTGCAAGCCCTGCTCTCAGGAGCCTGAGGGAGGAGGGTCACCGTGTTAGGGACAAGCCTGGTCTATGCAGTGAGTTCAAGTTCAGCCTGAATTACATGGCAAAATTGTGTCTCAGAAAACAAAACAAAACAAAAACTAATCTTAGGCTCCACATCTACTTCAGAAAAGCCACAGTTCACATTTAATAATAGCAATACAGGTGAAGCATAACTAAAACTGGAGAAGTAAAGACAATCTTTTTTTCCCCCAATTGTGACTGACAGTTTGCTATTAACTCAATTATCTTTTTTTTTTTCCAGAAGGATTAAAATTTTTTTAAAAATAATTATATTGGGAAACAAATAGCAATGAGACAGTTTCAAAACCGATTAGTTGGGCACTTTCAATAATTAATACATTGCATATTGTTGTCTTCTCAGTGGTTACTCATAGTACAAGATGCAGACATGATATCCTGTCCACAAACACTAGTAGTACAAATCTTTCTATTCATTGAATTAAGAGAAAGTAGCTGTATATCTATCCTAACTATTTTGAATACACAGATACAAAATGGTTCTTCATTTGTATCCCCTTTTTTTGTTTAGTTCTGTCAGATATGGGTATTCCTTTTTCATTTTTGGCTGGCTCAGGATGCCTTCAGGGCAGGTCTGGTCAGGCATGAGGATCTGGGGATCGAACCACAGAATCCTGAACCTGACAGCTTTGCTTAAGCAGGCACTTAAACAACTGTTAGCTCAATTATCTACAAAAACAAGAAATAAACATTTTTCAGATGAGCAGCTTCAGGGAGTGACACTTTCACACACTGAACAGACAACCTTTTCCATGAACTCTGGAGAAGAGATTAATCAATGATGGCCTCACATGCATTTCTGCGAAAAATCTCATAATCAAGTTAGAAAACCCAAATAGAGTGTAGAGCGCTTTCCTGGGCCCTGGGACACTAATGGACCATGTTATAAAACACATACCCTTTCCCCCAAGAGACTGCAACTGGAGGAGACAAGCCTGACACACACAGAGATACCAAGCACTTCCACCACTGGGAAAAATGTATTGAAGCAGTATTGGTTGGATTCCCTGCCAAGCTCTCTTAACTCCAGGCCTTACCAGACTTTTCTAATCAGCTATTTTTCTTGTGTTTTCCTTTTTATTCTCCCACACCTAAAATTAGGACTAAGGGCTGGGAATGTAGCTCAGTAGCTTAAGCGCTTGCCTGGCAAGTGCAAGGCCTGAGTTCGATCCCCAGTAACACAAAATCAATCAATCAACCAAACTAAAATTGAGACTAACACTCAGCAAATGAAAACCCTGACAGTGAACTAGATCCATCCTCTTTATAATAAAACCTTTGCAGCATCTGTCACTTGAGCTTGACCCCAAGGAGATAGTCCCCGTAATTCAAGTGACTTTGCATAGCATTCCTTCCAAAGATATGCAAACGCTGCCTGACATAAGGCATGAAGAATACAACCATATCTCACTGTATTTCCAGTAATGTTTTAATGCTCATTACAGACACTATAGGAGCATAAGTTCTAACTTCTTGTTGTGGTTTTGCATAGGTCCCCTGCCAAACTTGCAAGGAGTTAAGTAGCCAGTTCTGTAGTCCTCCTAGAGTCATCTGCGCGCCTTCAGTAGTCACATCATTTCTAACATTTGGTTCTCGGCAGGAAGTTAGCACCCAAAGCAGCTAAGATCCTTGTGCAACTGCCCGGGTTGACTACGCAGGCGTGGATACGGGAGGCAGGACCATCTGTGGTGGTGGAAACGGGGGCGAAAAGCACGAAGGACAGACACCGCGCTTGCGGCCTGGCTGATGCCACTAGCTCGCTCCACTCTCGTGAGGGTGTCCGTGTTCTAGTAAGACCTACGAACAGAACGTCAGACAAGTCTCCAGAAAGATCTATTAATTCCACCACAACGGCTGAAAATCCCTCGGTCTATGGTGACCTGCACAGTAAGAGGAAAAGAGACTCAAGCCTGGAGATCGGCCAAGCCGGCTGCTCCCTGCCGCCGCGGGCGCGGTGCAGCACGACCCCGGGGATCCCGCACTACAGCCGCAGCGCCCCCAGCCCCAGCCCGGGCCGAGGCTCCGCCGGGGGCAAGGCACCCCGGCCTGCCCTCCGGGACCCACGCCGCGCCTCCTCACCCGGGCTGAGGTCCAGCGGGCACCAGGGCTGTAGGCCGCTCCCGAGGCCCCGCAGCGCCACCATGATGTCCCAGGCACCAGCTTGCCACCGCCGTGCTCAACTTTCAAAGCTCGCTCCCGCGCGCGCTCCGAGACGTTCTTACACGCCAATCACAGCTTACAAAGTTTGCAACTGACCAATCAGCGTGCAGAACGGTTCGTGCTCTTCACCAACCAGGAAGGCCGTCCGCCGCCGCATGCGCAGAGTGAGGGCGGGGCAAAGGGTAGAGGTTGTGCGACGTTCCGCGCGGTGGTAGCGCTCCCGCTGACGCGCCAAGTAGGGTCCGCGGCTCTGTTTAGGCCTTGAAACTTCAGTCCCGCCTCTTTTTCTTTAATGAGAGGACATCTAAAGATAATCTCAAGCAGGATGCTACCCGTCATGACTGTCACCTTTGCCCCCTGTAAAGCTTTTTGCGCGCGTCAAAGGGCTATCTTCACCGCGTCTCACACAGCTCCCGGAAGCTATATATCTTTAAATGTGGATAGTAGCTCAGTTATACAGAATCAAAACGATAAGGGAAAGCACCCCCAGACAGTGTCTCCATTACTTTATATTTAACGGAACGTCTGGGCCCAAGTTGTACTGGAAAGAAGCTCGGACCGCCATGTCAACTGAGGGCGCGCCCGCCTTCCTCCCGCTGCGCACGCGCAGTGAGCGCACCTCCCGGCAACCGGGGAGCCTGGAGCGGGAGAGAAAGTCGTGCGCATGCGCGCGGCATCTCCAGCGCATCGGCCCGGAGCTCGCCTCCCCTCTCCCCCCTGAGCCGCGGAACACCTCGGTGCGGTGCGCCGTGGGAGCCTTGCGTGCTCTCCCTGCTGCTAGGCGCTAGACCCGCCCGGTGGGCTGCGGAACGCCGACTCAGGCTCTGCGCCGCTGCCCCTCTGGAGTTGCACAGTCGATCCTCTTCCGCTAGCTGCCGCCAGCTGCTCTGGACTGGCGAGGTGCAGCGCGACGCTCCCCCGTGAAGCGCTGCTGGGGACGCGGCAGCCTGCCCGCCCCCCCGCCCTGCCCGCCCTTCCCCGTGCGGCCGGCCTCCCCGTCGCCCCCCGCCCGCTCCCCTAAGCCGAGCCCAGCTGCGGTGCGGCTGCGAGCGCACTCCCGCAGGGCCCTCGTCCTCCATCCGTAGGGCAGCCCGCGGAGGCGGGAGCCGACCTCGGGGAGCCCGGCCCGGCCCGGCCCGGCGGAGCGATGAGCTTCTTCGGCTTCGGGCAGAGCGTGGAGGTAGAGATCCTGCTGAACGATGCGGAGAGTAGGAAGCGAGCGGAGCACAAGACCGAGGACGGGAAGAAGGAGAAGTATTTTCTCTTCTACGACGGGGAGACCGTCTCCGGGAAGGTGAGCCTCGCGCTTAAGAACCCTAACAAGCGGCTGGAGCACCAGGGCATCAAGATCGAATTCATCGGTCAGATTGGTGAGTCGACCCCCGGGACCTCCCCTGCCCCTGCACCATCCGCCTGGCCGGGGCCTGAGCCAGGCTGGGGGAGAAGGGGCAGGAGGGCCCGGCTCCAGCCGGGCTGGCTCATCAGTGTCCCTTGTCAGCTGCAGCCCGAGGCCTGGGGTTCAAGCTCAAATATCACCCGTGGGCGACTCCCCTGCCTCGCCGTCTTCCCTGCCACAAGTGACAGCGCACTCACTGTCAAAAAGGTGGGGCGACTAGGGCGGGAGGAAGCGCCCTAGTGTACGATCGATCGATTGATCCATTGGTAGGAGAGACACCTGGACCGTGGGTGTCCGCGCGACCTCACCGTGCGTGGAGCCCTGCTTCCGCCCCAGGATTTCTGAGCAAAGCGCTCCAGCCATAGCCTGCAGGTGGATTTGTTAGCAGAAACCGAGCTGCCCCACCGGCCTCCCCATCTCCCGTCATTTACAGCTGTCAGATCCAGAGTTAAGCTGCGCCCACGCCCATGCCTCTTCTCTTTAGACGTGTGTGGAAAGGCTCGCCAGTTGTCTTATCTCCTTAGATCTGAACTAACTATCCCGTACTTGGTTTTAAAAGAAGGCCTGCAATCATCTGCCTCATTTTGTCTACCTACCTAAACAGCATTTCAGAAACCATATTAGAATGCTAGTCTTCAGCCATCTAATTTTCTCCTTAAAGAAGTAATGTTTCTAAAACCACAATAAATAACCAATATTTCTCAATGCTCCATAAAAATTTTCAAACACAGTCCTTTCTCATTGGACCTAGACAACAAGAGGCATTAACAAAAAGGGAAATTTGGGGGCTGTTTCAGAAGATTTCCAATTCAGAGATTATTGGACACCGTCAGTTACCAGAACTGTCAGGTATTTCTAAAATTAACCATTTTTTGGCACGAGATCAAGAGTAGGCTCACAAAAATGCGTAGTGGACTACAGACACCTCTGGCAAGGAATCTATATCCTGTACCCCACCCAGTGCTTAGGATACTGTTTTTGGAGACTTCCTTGGGATGGTTATAGAACTTTATCATATCCTGAGCATTGAGCAAAGCATTTGTTCTCTCTCTTTTGTAAGGGCAGAAAACACAGATAGAGGTAGGAGGAACCCTAGCAGAAGTCCTGGCAGCCTGACCCTGCAGTCTGCTGTTCAGCATCAAACATCTTTGCCTCTGATATTTGAGAAAATGAAATCAGGTTAAAGACTGCTGATCCTATAGGAACCTATCGTTATTTTAAAGGCAGAGTGTGACAGCGTTGTTGCTTGTATTAGAAAAGAGGTCGGAGAATAGGATTCATGCCTTCTGCTTTTCTGCTTCTGGCTCAGACGGTTCGGTTTCTTAACAGCAGTGCTGTTGACACATAGGGGCTGGTAGGGCTTTGTTACAGGTTTTAGCATTATTGTTAGTCTGTACCAATCTAGTGTCAGTGGCACCCTGGATAGGTAACCACAAAACTGGTTATATTACTGTATGGCCCTAAAGGTTAAAATCAGACTTAGTAAAGAACCACAGGTTACATGAGATAGAAGAATTTCATGTTACATGTGCTGTATGAAACAATTGAGAAATCCTTGCTTACTGAGCGTTGGCATTTTCAGATAGGAGTTTTAAGGTTACCACATCAATTCTTTGGCTCTGTGATGCCGATACACAGGCATGTTTAGTCTGTTCTGTTTCATCAGTCCCAAGCGGTCTTTGCCATATGTGGCATATTCCTGGAGCCAGACAGTATAAAATGAGCCGATCTAAAAGGAACCCCTCTGGTCTAAATGAAAGGGGGTTGAGGGGGCTGTTAGGTATATGTGCCCCCCCTGGTCTCTTGTGCAACTCCTTAATTCCAAGATGTCATCCTTACTGAATTTTCTCAAAGCCTTTTGTTGCTTCTGCTGCTAATTTTTCCTAGACTCTTAGTCACTCTGGGCTGAGTTGGCTGTGAGAGCTTGGGAAAGTTCGGCCTCTTGGTGGACCTCAAGTTTTTTGGATGTAAAGGAAGGGTAAGAGGGGCTGGGGAGATGGCTCAGTGGAATAAGCGCTTCCCTGGCAAGCACAAGGGCCTGAGTTCAATCCCCAGTTCCGCCAAAAAAAAAAAAAAAAAAATAGGAAGGGTAATAAAATCACCTGGTGATTACTTTGAGCACATCAGGGAATCTTGTCTCAAGAGCTTTTTAGAGTTCTTGTACAAAAATGATAGTAGTTGATAGAGCGATATTTTCATTTCAGAAGTTCTATTGTAGTCACTGATTTACTGTTTTTCTTACACCCCTTCTTGCCTGAGCCGAGTAAGATTTTCACGTGTACTTTAGCTCCTGGCTTTTAAGCACTTGCTTCTGTCATGTGAACCAGTCACACTTGATTTTGCACATAGAGACAACCCGAGCTGTGTGCTTACATTTTCAGTTATCCATGATTCCATGAGAGAATAAAAATAAAGTAATGGGCAGATTAATAGATGGCCTGTTTCTCATTAGTGTGCTTTGGGATGTCTTTCTTTTTTTCTTTCTTTCCTCCTCCTCCTCCTTTCTTTTTTGTTGTTGTTACAGGGAATTTGGGAATTGAACCCAAGGCCTTTGCACTGAGCTACACTCTCAACTTTTTTTGTAATTTCTTTTCTTTTTTTAAATTTTGATGAATTCCTGAGCTTCCCAGGTTGGGCTCTTAACAGTCCTCCTGCCTCGGCTTCCAGGGTGGTGGAGTGACAGACTTGTGACACTGACAGGTGGGGATATGTTTCTTGATGAAGAATAAGATATGAGAAGTCCTTGTGATTAAGTGTGAAAGGAAGGGAATTTGTATTCCTAAAACTGGGAGCACAAAATGACTTTGCTTAGAGTCTTATTTTTCTGTTTTATTCTCTTGGTTCTCCCCAGAAGCATAGCATGAAGCATTGTGTCATACACAGAAGGCATTCGTTCTGATGAGACCTTAGGGCAGTGAAGTGAGACTGCTGGGTGACTTTGCTAAAGTTGTGGTCCTGTGGTTTTCTCCTTCATTGCATTCTTTGTGTATCAAGTGGGTAGAACTTCCGAAGTGTTGTAAGGTCTGTTTGAGTATGGGTGACCTAGAAGGTTAGAAGGTTACATCACTGAGCTCTGACTTCTTTCATCACTGATTTTGCCCGGGGATGGGGGTTTTGGGAGAAGTGAGACTTCTGTCCCCATCCCATCTCTGAATGCCCAGTGCCTGCTGGACATGTCCACTTGAATACAGTCCAGCTGCCTCAGTGATGCATCGAAGCAGAACTGTCCACAGTCCTCCCCCACACGTTTCGCCACCCAGCCTCCTGTTTCTCCACTGTGGCCCTTGCCTCCTGTGTCAGTGCAGCCCCAGAAATAAATCTAGGGGTCACCTGAGGGTCTGCTTACGTTCGGGTCGCTTTGGACTTTTGGTCTTGTGCAACAGCTCTGCAGTAGATCTGTTTTCACCCTCACTGGGGGTTTAACCAAGCCCCGCTTGGATGCAAGTTCTCTGAGTAATACCTCAGCGTTTTTGAAAAATTTTGAGGTAGGTTCTCATCAAGTTCTTCAGGCTGGGTTTGAACTTGTGTCCCTCCTGCCTCGGCCTTCTCAGCAGCTGGGATTACATACACACACCATCACACAAAGATTTTCTACATAGAGCTTCAAATCCGCATCAGTGGCTTATTCTCTGTTGCGCCCTTCTCTTATGCAGCCTCTGGGTTGAGCTTTCTGCTTTCCCCCGCTTCACACCATCTCTTGTGAGGATGAACTTTGTCAAAGGCTCTTCTGAGATTGTCAGTCTCTCTCATAAAGTTCTTATCAACTCCCTATTGGCTCAAAGCAAATTCTTCCTGAGCTGACCCCTATGTCTCTTTCCCTATTCACCTCTCCCTCGCCCTTTTCCTCAAAGCAGCCTGTTCCAGAATTTGATATCTTCTTTTTTTTGTACCAGGGATCAAACTCAGGACCTTGGTTTGCCAGGCAGGTGCTTATGGCTGCTGCGCTATCTCCCTGGCCCAGTATCTTCCTTCTGTATATCAACATCTTTCTAAAAGGATGCTGTCCCAGCTACCATCACCTCCTTGGTGAAGCCTTTCCTGACTGGCCTCCCTCAGGCACTTGCTGGAGTGTTCGTGACAGGCCTCACTGTTCTTTCTTCCCAAGCAGGGTTTGTTTTTGTGTATTTAAGTTGTCTTCCTCCCTCTCCTGAGTGCCTTCCACTATTTGTCCCAGTGGCTACCCTAGTAAGAGTTACTCAATATAATGTATCTATTAACTGGAAACATTTGTCAAATCCAACACTTGACAGAAGCTATTCTCTGGATTGTTTTTCCCTCATCTTCTAAAAAGCTAGAATTATTTTAACACATTCCTGTTGACTTGAACCACTGGTGGTCCATGCTCGATGGCCCATCGGGTGACATAGGACAGTCACACTGGGTGATAGAAACTGCCCAGTGTGGGGTCGCCATGCATGTACAGTGGCCCCTTCATGAATATTTTAATGTAAAAGTGGGAGAGTGCAGATTTCCTTTTCTGTTGACCATTAGTTGGCTGGGCTCTCTGCCTGTGCCCGTAGCTCAAGGCCACCGAGAACTCTGGTGATGGTGACTTGCGTGCCCCCACCGGGGCCACGCCCTCACTGAGGGGTGGGTAAGAAAGTGCTGACACACTCCATTGCACTCACCTTCCCCAGTGCTGGGGACGGAAGTCATTCACACTGAGCTACATCCCCATCCTTTTTCTTTTTTCCTATTTTTGAGGCAAGGTCTCACTAATTTGCTTTTGTCCAGGGAGGCATTAAACTTGCATTCCTTGTGCCTCAGCCACCCAGCGTGCTAGGATTACAGTGGACACCACAGGCCCAACCTCGGTGTCTCGGCTATTGTTCTCCTGTTGCTAGGACAAAATACCCGACACCCAATTTGAAGGAAGGAAAAGGTTTATTTAGCTCACAGTTCAGTGGAGGTTTCAGTCCATACTTGGCTGACTCCAAGGCAGGGTGGCACGTGGCACAGCACAGCCATTCATGG